CACACACACACACACACACACACACACACACACACACACACACACAAACACACAGAAGAGACAATATCAGCTCCGATGTAATAAACTCGGAGAAATCAATGCAACGTGTAACAGAGATAAAATGGATAAAAAGTGACGGTTGAGTGAAACAAGTTCAGCCGAACAGAACAGCAGAGTGAAGAGAGGAGTCGATACGAGGAACAGATTATATTGAGATGGACGTTTTGTTGAAGTGTTTGTTGAACACACTTTATCTACGAGAACGTTCCGTCTGGTTCGTCCTGACAAAGTGAATCAATCGTAACGTGTCAATCGTTCCTCTGTTTTGAAGGAGTTCCACACTTTACAGGACATTTATGACATGTGAAGAAAATCTGGATTCACTAGATTTAGTGACTAACTAAGTCATAAAGATTTTTCTATTGAAGTCAAGGAGACCTCCCTCAATTTTCATATTAGCAGAGTTTCTGACCTCTGACCTCTGACCTCTGACCCTGATTCAACCTGACCTGCAGCCGAACAGGAAGTGTCAACAACATCAAATGATACACACATGACCCCGCCTCCTGGCTCCGTGTTTCCACAAGCTCAGCTGATGTTCAGACAACATGGATGGGGGGGGGGACAGAGACAGAGCGCCGCCATGCTGCTGGGCCAGCTCCAGAGTCAGCTACACACACACACACACACACACACACACACACACACACATTCATATTTATATCAAGTCGAGTGCACAAAAGCAACATGCAGACACACGTACAAAGAAAGACAGAGAAAGAAGGTTTGGGAGTAAAAAGAGAGAAAAATACCTTTAATTATTTAGTATGTTAAGTATTTTAAATTCTAATTAATTGAATGTGTTTGACAGATTAAATGTTTTAAACTAATATGATGAGTATGTTCAAGCCTCCACGCCCACCTCCACCTGCTCCCATTGGACAATTCTAGCTGTCAATCACACTGTGGTAGCTTTATGGTCATTTTCTATTGACAACCACAGGAGTCGCCCTCTACTGGTCATAAGAGAGAACACAAGTTTCAAGCACGTCTGCGTTGGCTTTAACTTCCGGACCTGGAGTCTACATCTATTTTTAAAAACAGTCACTAACGGACACTGACACGTTCATGCTCCATGGAAACAGAATCCTCGAACTCGACGTGTTTCTGAGATGATGAATCTCTGACCCCTCGGACCCCGGACTGAAGTGAAGACTCACCACAGTGCAGTTGCTGGACGAAGAGATGCACTTCCTGTCCTCACACCACTGGCAGCCCCACGTGTTGGCCGTGCAGCTCGCACAGTCCGAGAAGCGGAAACACTGCTCGTCTGTGCTGTCTGGAAGAGGCCACAACACACACACACACACATTAACACAATCAAACAGATCAGGTTGTATTTTTGTGAAAGTCTGTGTTGTTGTGGAAAAATGTGATATGTGACGCATCTTCATATTAAAGGAAATTCTTTGTCTCAAGTAAAAACGTCCAGTCGTTAAGCTCGGTGTACCTCAGGGTTCAGTTCCAGGGAACAGATAAGATAAGACATGTGATCTTCAGTGGCACACAATTAACAAGGTCATCAATCCATCCATCTGTGAGTTTGTTCTATTTAAATCTGACAGAATCATTATCATAATTAGTTCCAACCTAAACCTGCAGCCTCAAGCAGAATATGTGGAAAACTACTGCAACTACATCTGGCACAAAGAGAGGAGGAGGAGGAGGAGGAGGGTTCGGATGAATCCTAATTACTTTAAAATTAGGTAATTGTTGCAGCAGTGACCTTCTGTTCCCATCATTATGTTATGCAAACTAACCTGAAAGGCCAAATACCGGAGGATAATTATAATTTCCATGAAAAACGAAAACTCTCCTCTGTGGTTGTTCTGTACATTTCAAAGTGTTGACGTGACAGTGAGAGGCTTTAAGACCATCGATAGAAAGTATTGGCAAACAGGACGTCACCAGGTCGTGAGGGACAAGTCACGGCAGGTAGAATCTGGTCAGGCGGTTTTGGTTCCCAGGGAAAACATCTACTTTTGAACCAGTGGCAGCGAAGGCCCGGCCCAGCGGCAGCACACAGGGCTGGGTTAGAAAAGGCCCGACATGACGGGGGGGTGTAGGTGAGCACGTCGTTCAGGAGGACGCCGGAAAAACCTCCGAAGATGAACATGGAGCTGAGGAAGATACGAGAGATTACACAGAATCACTCAGGCCACAGATGCAGCTGCAGATACACATGTGGGAGAGACACAAAAGTTACAGCAACAAGTTTTGTAAAAGAAACGCCTGCAGAGATCAACACAGAAGAGAAGAGAAGGAGGGAACCTTTCAGAATAAAGCTGAACTTTGGTTTGAGTGGAGCTGAAGTCAAAGAGGTTTGAAGTCTGAAGTTGAAAGACGACATTTCTCTGCTCAAAGTTTGGTGGATAAACGGTGTTAAAGGGTCAGAGAGAGAGAGTCGCTTCACAACATTTTCTTTTTCACATTTTTGAGAAACTCTTGTGTCATCCGTGTTATATTTGTTAATATTTATCTTTTATTGTGGTATTATAGAGCATATAAAACCTACGATTTGAAAACAACTTGGAAAGACGACGAGTTGGCGAAAATTCTCAAATAAGTCGCGGGGTCGGCGAGAGGAACGTTCGTGTCCCAGACTCCTCACCTGAATGTTCACGTCTGAAAACAGCACGAGAGAAATACTTTCTGCAGATATATACAAACTGTATTTATACTCAGAGGCTGCCGAGTGTGAAGCAGGAGAAATATTCACATATAGACAAGAGAGACGCAGAGATGAAGAGGAGGAGACGTGACCTCGGTTTCTTTCAGCAGAGAGAGAGAGAGAGAGACGTGACGAGGAAAGTGGGAACTAAAACTAAATTTAACATCGAGACGAAGAGATCAATCCGTAAAAAACCGACGTCTCTCCGACAGCTGAGACGACGGAGAAGAAAGTCGACGGAGACGCCTCCAAATCTTAGAGGACGCAGCAGGACGACATGAAGGAGATGTAAAAATGTACCGAGGAATAATCCAGTCATGGAACAGATGGAGTTTATTTGCATGAACTCAGATGTTCAACAGATTATTTACCAGGTTTAATCAGATCTGAGAATCACATAGAAAGTTCAGTGCTGAAGTGTCCTTGAGCGAGGCAGCCACTCCGGAGCAAAGGGAGATATTGGACTCACCCGTTGCTCACAACAGCAGAATGTCCGAAGCGGTTGACGTCTCGATGCAGCGATGGTCTGGGGAGGATCGACCACTCATCACAAGCTGTGGAGAACACACACACACACACACACACACAGATGTTAAGCCTGTGTTTGTGTCTGAAACAGAGATAACAATAGTTTCATCAGTCCATGTCCCATCAGCTAACATGGAGGAGGATAAGAACTCATTATTATTCGTACCTTTTCACATCAAACAACGGCGATGAGGAAAAGATGATTTCATGAACCTTCATCATAAAGCACCTCTCTCTCGTTATCATTGCAGCTATCAGCTCTGTGTGTTTTACTGCTTGGATTTTACAACTCTGATGTTTTAACGACCCTGACGTGCATCCATTATTTTAATATGGAAATTAATTTGTGTGTGTGTGTGTGTGTGTGTGTGTGTGTGTGTGTGTGTGTGTGTGTGTTAGTCTAAAAGGTCCCATTCAGCCGGATGAGCCTTGGCTAAACGTAAACGGAGTCGGGGGCTCTGGGACACCAGGTTGCTAACGACATCGTTAAGCCGCGTGCTAATTGGGAGTTCTTCTTGAAGAGCGAGGGACGAGGCAGAGGACAAGAGAGAGAGAGAGAGACGGGGAGGAGGAGGGGTTCTAATCAACATGAGTAATGAGTTCATAACTAGAAGAGGTCAAAGGTCAGTCATATTCACATGACAACCAGAGCGACGGTGATGTTTATTCCCTCAGTTCAGTCTTTCAGGTAAAAGGTAATTGGCTGATTTTTTCTGTCTATCACACAACATTCGTTCACTATCAGCAGATCATCAGGGACAATGTTGTGGTTGAAGGACAGACTGGAAAAAGCCGGGGGATCAAACTGCCGACCCTCTAGCTAGTGGACCGCCCCCTCTACCACATGAGCCACAGCAGTTTAACAAATCTGTTCACATGGAGACGAATATTCAGGCGACCGCATTCAGGATTAGATTTGATTATGTTGATTGTGGTGTTTACATGAAGTGACACCTGTGGTACACACACACACACACACACACACACACACACACACACACATTTCATATTTTGCGTAATCAACCAACCAAACAACAGACGGGGGTGAAAACACAAAAACCTTGAAGAGGTGAATGAGACGATGGCGTTTCCTGACACGTTCCCTCATGTTAACACCTCCAGTGTGACGTCCTGGTGTTTTGACCTTTATCAATGTGCATTTCACAAAAACTACTGAAATACAATTTTAGCTGAAATATTAAAGTTTATAGAGTAAAAGATTAAAAAAGTATTTATAAAAACATTTCAAATCTGAGATGCTGCAGACGAGAGCTGGTTACGATTAGCTCGCCCCTGACTGTCACGGATCATTATGAGTGGGAGGAAGTAGCATAATAAATAAATAGTACTGCTCACATCTTTCCTGTGCTGTTACCTAAGTTCATGTAAGTGTTATTCTTAGATTCTTTACTTTACACGCACATTACTGAAATAAGAAAACTTTGTCACTGCTGAAGTCTGTGCCATCGTGAATAATCTCAGGTTGCACAGACTCGTCCAATTTCCACCTTCTGACTACTGGTGATGCGTTTGTATAAATTAGCATTAAGTCGCTCTGGGGATTTGAATCTGTAATATTCCTGCAGAATCTATTTCTACATCTTGCATATGGACACAGATGTTGTGTCGTCTGTGTTTTAATTTAACCTGGAAGTCTCTGCATCAAATCGACAACTCTGGCACTCTGAGCGCTGAAATAAGTCTGTTTCACTACGGAACATTAAGACGTTGAGAAGTTTGTCATCTTCAGTGTGTTTGTTTACAGCTCGTCCACACCGCCTCTCCTCTGTCATTCAAAGTTGACGTCTTCGTCTTCTACGTGTACGGCTTCTTCATCCTAAGATTTTTCCATTTAATGAGATAACTGATCGTTTACATTTTGAGCATTGAACAAACATGATGTCAGGGCTGGAACTAAAAGCTGTTTATAGATTAATCTGACTGTTACTTGTTTTAAAGAACTGTTTCGTCTATTCCCTATTTTTACACATGAAAATTGAGTCCTGAAATGTCCTCGTTATTGTATCGCTGCAGGTTTGTGATTTGGACTCAGGGGAAAGTCTGTGGGCAGCTGTGACTCAGGGAATAATGCAGATAGCGTCTCAGCCTGAAGCTCAGAGTGAGAACAGTGTCGTGTGTTGAAGCACCTTATAAATGTGGAGGTGAACAACTTGTTGACCACTCAAAGTTACACAACCCGACACACAAACCACATCTCAAGAAACTTCTACCTGCAGAGTAAAAAGAAGAAAACAGCCCCCCCCCCACCCACACATACACACACACATCAAAACAGATTTTAATTTCCTGTCAGGATATGAGAAAATCCGTGTTAATAATGCATGCTGGGACACAGAGAGGAATTATGACACTGGATCAGAGCGGGCGGGCGGGCTGGGGTGATTGACAGTTTGATCTGATCTGAGCTAATGGAGGTCTTAATGAAGAAGGGTGGAGGAGAAGGAGGAGGAAGTGAGGAAGAGGAGGAGGAGGAGGAGGAGGAGGAGGAGGAAGAGGGTTGAACAGAAGCCGCTGGCAGCTCCTCTAATATATCACATCTCCCAACATCTTCCAAACAAGCTCTCAGCCGGCCCTGGGCCTTTCAGTCAGCGGAGCCATGTGACAGTGTGTGCGTGAGTGTGTGTGTGAGTCAGGTGTGTGTTTGTGCAGCGGTGTGTGGGTGTGTGCCTGGGGTGTGTCAACTTGGAAAGGGCCGTGGTTTTAATCAGAGTTCATTTTCTCCCCAAATCTAATTAGCGTGAGGAGGGAGGGAGGAAGGGAGGGAGGGGGGTGAGGCAGGGTTGAAGGGGGGTGAGGGAGAATTAAATCCAAATGAAAAGTGCCTTCCGTGTCGACCTGAATCTAATGTGTGGCAGCAGAAAAGCGGGAGAAGCTAATAACACCGCGTCGCCCCTCCAAGGTTAGCGCGGCAAAACAAAAACAAATTAGCGCTCGAAGCCCCCCTGTGCTCGCAGCGAGCGGGGGAGGGAAAGAACGGTGGAACGGAGGAAGAGAGGAGCGAAGGAGCGATGAAGACACGACGAGGGACGGAGAGAAGCGACTTCCACAGGTGCAACTAATTAATTATCTCCCAGAGAGACGAGCGAGGGCAGAGGAGACGGGAGAGGAGAGGAAATCTCTCCAAATGCTTTCCTGGAATAAATTCAAACTAAAAACCGCAGCGACAAACATTTATAAGATTTAATTAGAGGAGACTTTGATGGGAAAATGTTTTTACTGAACGCTGCAGGTAAGAATGACGATTGCGAGAAATAAAAGTGTTTATTTAAAATGGCGCAGGACGAACGGAAGGCTTCAACACGGCAGCTCACTTGACGTCACTTGTTTGACATCTTTGTTAAAGTTAATTTGAACTTTTGTTTATAATTGGCTGCTCTCAAAGAAACGTCCAGTGACTCTATTTCCCATCTGAACACTAGATCATTGAATTTATCAATCATGATAAACATCATTACAGCTGTAACTGCACCAAGAGCCTTTTCTCTATTTCCCTTTTAATTAACTCCACATCATTTTAGGCCAAATTATAACAGCTATTAATTTATATCTGCAAAATTCTCATAAAGCTGCAGGAAAGTGGTTAAAAATGAAATGATCTGTACAATAAAACATTAGCAAATTTGTTCCAAACAATGTGAACCGGGGGAAGTGAAGCAACTTCAGACGTTTAACTGAAGCAGATAAAATATATATTCCGCTTTAAAAACTATAGTGTGACACAACAAGATTCATGTTTTAATGGAAATCAAGCAAGAAAAAACTATTTATACAGGACTGGAGAAAAAAAATAGCTTTGACTGATTATGACTTTCTTAAATTGGCTTTTTTTTTTTATTGGCAGGAGAAAGAGAGAGACGATATAAAAGTAGAGACGTGAAAAAGAAATGCAAGTTTGAAAGTTGAGCAACTACGGAGGAAAAAATGAAAAAGAGAGAGAGAGAGAGAGAGAGAGAGAGCCAGAGCTGTGAGACCTCTCTCAGGTTTAGACTCTTTCTTAAGTCTGAGTTTAACCTCCTCTTCTTCAACCCCTCGTTCCTCTGTCTCTGCGGTGCGACAGCGATCTGGCTGCTGGATGACAAACCTGTGCGGATCTGCACGATGAATAAATGGTGATATCTATAGAGACACGTTTATTACCAACACATTCACCATGACGTCGTTCCCAACTTCATAAAGACGCTCGGTAAACAAAAGCCTCACTGTTTATTACCTGTGAATTTGGTTTTTATTCACAGGGTTATGTTCGGCTCTAACCAGGAACACCTTTATTGTCTTTATTCTCCCTCACCCTCCTCACTGCTGCTCTTTATCTCCCTAAATCCCTACTTCATTTACTCTTTATTTCTCTCCCGCTCCGTCCGCCGTGCTCTGCGCTCTCGTTCCATCTGTTTCCTCACATCCGCCGTCTATTTCTCACCAACGTCCTCCCTGATACTTTCCTCTGTTTCCTATAATTCACAGCAGAGACTGACGAGAAAGATGGAAGCAAAGAGGTGAGCGGGGATAATACCAGGGAAATCAAATATTGATCATTTATCTATTTGAAAAAATACAACTTGTAAACTTTTGTTTCTGCAGTTTTTACCCACACCTCAAGGTTTTACTTGAGATACCAAAACCTTCTTCCAACCCGGCCGCGACCAATGAATGATCACCACCAATATCTGAAGCTGAACGATTGAAAGTTGGACATGCAGATGAAGTCAATGAGGCACGGGACACATCTGAAACTAGAGGGACGCTCTGTGTTTGACTGCAGACGTCAACTTTGCGTCAGCAGCTGCAGAGGGAGAAATGTTTTCCTCAAGAGAAAAAAAACACATTGTGACAGAATCCGGCTCAGCTCAGGTCCCGACCTCTTGGTTCTGAATCCACGACCTCGTCCAAACTAAGACGCCACTTTTACTTTTACACTTTTCTTCAGTTGAGTCTGAGTTTTAGTGGTTTGAAAACTGTGGCGCAGACGCAGCAGCTTCACCTCAGCTTCCATCTGTGTTTCACTCCTTATTGTAAGAAGTCAGCCATCTTCACCCACATCTGTCTTTCTTTCCCTCTTCATCTCCCTGCAGTCACCCCCCCCCCCCCATGTCAAGAGTTGGTGTAATCCCTCTTTTCTTCTCCCAGCGCTCCCTCCATTCTTCCATTTCTCTCTCTCCATCATGTGGTGAAAACAGCCTCACACCATCTGGTCTGTGGCGGGACTGAGTGGCCTGTAATGGGATCCTTCATCATCCAGACTCTCAACCTGCACTGCAGCATCCAGACTCACTCCTCTTCCTCACTCACTCCTCTTCCTCACTCACTCCTCTCATTCAAACACTCCTCTTCCTCACTCACTCCTCTACCTCACACACTTCTCTGCTCAATGTTTCCCCCAATCCTAAACACACACAGTAAACAGAAATCAAGTAGATACTCCAGTAGATAGTCAGAGTCCTTCTGTGATGAAGACTTGTTCTTACCGATGTCGTACGACAGGAAGTCAGCAGAGAAACATTTGGCTCCGTTGCTTAGCGACGTGTCGTTGTGAGTGTTTCCCCCAAAAACCAGAACTGTGCCGCTCAGTAGCGCCGCCGAGTGGAGGTGTCGCGCCAAGCCACTCTCTCTGAGGATCAACCTGCACACACACACACACACACACACACACGTTAATTCTCAGTTGTGTGCGTGACTTTATTTCTGTGGTGCCATGTTATTGATGGTGTTCAAGTGTGTGACCTCTAACGTGGTGACTGCCCCTTCATACTTCACACACACACACACACACACACAGACATGGTAGGAGGTCTCAGTTTGCTGCGTGTGACCTCTGAGGTCAAAGGTCACATAGTGAGACCAACTGTGGGGACTTTCTGTGGCGTCTTCATTTCCAGCAGAAAGTGACTCTCACCACAGACTCTCTCTTCTCAGCTCTGAGAGGGAAACACTGAGACGTCGTCATTGATAAAACTGATCCGAGGTCAGTGAAATAATTGATCATGATCTGGAAACATGTTCACTCAATATCTGTCAGTCGTTAAATCTGTCGGTTCTCTCTGCAAATACACGTCGAGAATAAAAGTTGTGTGGACAAAGTCTTATTCGCTAGAGGCCACCTGACGCCGGACGAACACACAGAGACGTGATGTTCGAGACTTCCTCCAGCGTTCTGCTGACGGAGATCATCTACTGAACAACTGACATAACCAGAGAGGTTTCCGTCTGGGAATTTCAAGAGCAAAGTGACTCCTGACTCCGACAGCGGATTCCAGAGGAGACACTGACGGAGGCGAGCTTCCTCTTTCACTCATCCGTCAGCACGAGGTCGTCCGAGGTCACACCTCCTGTCTCCTTCTGTTCTCACACTCAGCTCATCTCTGCTTTCTGATTGGCCCAGATGTTAATTTTAAACATCATCGCAGCTGTTGTCTTATGTGTAAAACAAAAAAATAAAACGTGTTAATATTTATATATTAAGAGGAACTACACTATTGAATTGCATCATTGTTTATGAGAGAAAACCCCATGACGTAAATTTGCTAATTCACTTCACAGTTTAAATAAACAAGCTTCGTTTTAACACGTAATTTAAAGTGAAATAACTTTTATCACAATTTCCTTAAAGGCACGAGGTGGAAGAATTATTTCAAAATGAAGCATGATCAACAATATCAGCGGTCAGACAAATGTAGAATACATTTTCTAAGTTTTTATTTCCTGAGCTCTCACCATGTCCTGGTGTGGACGTGGTAGCGGTACATGTGGTCCACCAGACCGTACTTGTTGTTGTTCAGGGCCTTGTATCCCCCGTGGACGAACACGCAGCCGCTGGACTCATCGAACACGCTGCTGTGGCCGTATCCTCCCTGGACCACCGCGCCGCCGGCGGACACAACCTGCCACGAGTTCGACCCTGACACACAAACACAGAGAACAGAAAAGAGCTGATCACTTGAAGAAAAGTTTCGGAGGCTTTGGCAAGTCTGGTTTTTCACTATTGTGCCAAAAAACACTTTTAATTCCGGAGGTGAGATGGAGCGAGGGAAGAGAGAAGAACGGAGCCAAACAGTGAGCGGGGCCAGAGGAAATGAGAGTTTACTGAATTTAAAAGCCTTTTATTAGACCAGTGTGATGCAAACAGATTAATGTGGGTGCACAGAAGATCTTATTAAAAACAGGCAGGGATTACATCAGCCGAGCAGCGTCTGAAAAAGAGAAGACCACACAACAAACAAAGCCTCGGAAGGAGGAGGAACTTCAAAAGCCGGAGAAAATGTCATCTGGAAGGACACCCCCCCGAGACCACGAGGAGCTGAGACACAAAAGGAGCTGGAAACCTCTCAGAGGCAGAATCTCTCCATGAAATACTCAATATCTATCTGTTGTGAGGCCTGAGCACCGAACGGTGTGAAGACCCTCATGTAATAATAATCAGTTTTCTGCTCTCACTCCCAAATTTATCACATTTTCAAGGAACAAAACAACCTGGAAAAAAATTGTTATACGTGAAAATTTGCCGAGAGTCATTTCAGACATAAATTTTCATGCGTGATAAGTTTTGTAAGTTTGTTAAGGTTGTGGAGAAATAGATGAAAATGAGATGATACAGCACATATCCAATAATCAACAGTTTCAAATTGATGGAATATTAAATGATATTAGAAACTATTTAATTTGCTGCTTCACTGTTATCAAGTATTTTTAGATCTCAAACACCAACATAAGTCTTGAAAATCTGATATTGAAACATATCACTGATTAAAATGTGTCTGTAAAGTTTCACCGAAATATAAAATAAGAAAAGAAAAGAAAAAGATAAAGAGAGTCAGGAGCCGACAACAGGACACAGGCCCAGAGAGGAAGAGGAGCAGGAAACCACAAGAGAAAGACTGATAGAGAGAAGGAGAGAGGGAGGGAGGGAAGAAGGGAGATAGGGAGAGAGGAGCGGAAGAAGGTCGACTCTTATCTCACTCCTGGCAGCTAATTGCTGCAAACCTGCTTCTCCGAGTGTTCATTAAATCCCTTTATCTCAGATTTTACACATCGTCTCTGTTCATCTCCGTCTCCACCGCCGCCTCTGAGGCCCGATGACGCTCGGTGCAGCCGTGACACCGTCAGAGGGAGGAGGGCGGAGGTGGGTGAGGATGAAAGTGATGGAGAGGTGAGGGGAGAGAGAGGGAGGTGAGAGGGGAGGGAGATGACGGAGGCCGAGCAGGACTAGTGACAGAGGTGGGGAGGGGGTCAGAGGGCGAAGACGGGGGTTGAGAGGAGAGAGACAGAGGGAGATAAAGGAGAGGGGGTGAAGAAGAAGAGATGGAGGGAGAGAGGGAGGATAAACAGAGCGAAAGTGAGGGAACGAAGAGGATTCATTAATCATTGTCTTCTTCTGCACATCTTCTTAATGAGTGTGTGTGTGTGTGTGTGTGTGTGTGTGTGTGTGTGTGTGTGGGTGTGTGTGTGTGTGTGTGTGTGTTCTCAGATTTTAGGTGGTTTACAGAGCTGGACAACACCGCCATCTACTGGCTACGCAACAAGCAGCAGCTGTATGTCTGTACATGGAGGGTTAGGACCATACACTACTATAGACTACTAATAAAATAATACCTATGTGTGAATATAAATAATTATATACCATATGTAAAATGTACAGAGGGTTGAATGTGTTGTTTAAATAAAACTCATGTTGTTTTTCCAACATTGTGATTTTAAAGCACACGAACACGCTGACGTCAGAACAACAACTTCACTGTAGAACTACGTGAGTGTTTTTTTTCCTTCATTGGAACAACAACTGAGAAAAGCAGCGTCAGTGACAAACAAATAAAAAATGGCCCCCTCATCTCATTCCTTCCTTCCAGAATCAAAGCAAATGAAAACATCTCCACAAAGAGTTGTGTTACGTTGTGATCCCGTGTTGAAATGTTTAGACAAATGTCAGGAACACGAGGAGCACGTGTGCGGACTCAGCAGCTGAACTCACTGATGTTGTACTCCTGAACTTTGTTGATGTAGCTGAAAACCGGCGAGTAGCCGAAGAAGATCAGCATCACCGCTTCGCCGCCGGACAGCTCCACCACGTGGGCGGTGTGTCCCTGCAGGGCGTAGGGAGGAGGCGGGGCGGGTTTCCGTGGTGACCAGGTGCGTCGGGGGATGTTGAACGCCCACAGCTCGTCGGTCACGTTGGCGGATCCGGCTTCGAGCTTCCCGCCAAACATGTAGATGTCGTCCTGCAGAAGGAGAAGCACAGAGAGGTCAGAGTGTGATACTCTAAACAAAAGATACAGCAAGAAAGTCCTGATGATCATGGAGTGAGTGTCTCCTCATGTATAAATAGATATAGATCGATATATCAGTATGTACTATGTACTATATTCACAATACTACTCACAGGTAGCAGCTGGTTAGCTTAGCTTGGCTGCCCGATGTACATTTTAACTTCTTAAACTTTCTGAAGTTTTATCTCAAGCGACACCTTTTACATCTTTTGAAAGTCCAGATTACAAAGTGCTTCTCAAGGCAGCAATTAAAACAAGTAGGTCATGAAATGATCAGAATTACGTGACAACAGCTCTGAAAGTAAATTAAAGTTGAAGCTATTGCAGGAGGCGCTCTACGATAACGGAACACCTTTAAAAGGTACTTAAAAGAAATTGCTGAGTCAGCAGGGAACAGATTTCTGCCCGAGGATGTTAAAGAACGATCTGGTGCTAAAAAGTCAGAAATATAAGAGGCGGAGCTTTGCATGACACATGGTAACTTAGCAACAGCAACTAAACTTTACTCCACATCTGCACGTCAGCAGAGCAGCAGCTTTAACATTAGAGGGATCGGACGTGTGGGAGGTGAAGAGTCGTCCTGGACGTCTCTGTTCCCCCGTGAGATAAAAGTAAAACATGCATGTTCTTGTTGCTGCCGTCGTCTCAGACGTCTCAAGAGAAGGTGACAAAGTGATTCCTCTCAAACCTTCTCCTGTGTGAGATTGAAGTTGGAGCTGCCGGAGCCGTAAACAAGCCGGAGTTACTGCCTTTAACAAATCTCCCGTCGGACACTGCGACGTCCTCTGGCTCAGATCTCAGCATCGTCATGGAGGAAAACACATTTGTCTTCATTCTCTCTGCCGTCCTTCACTGAATCACTTCCTCCACACACGATGAGCAGGTGCCCCAGAATCTGGACAGTGACGCATCATGTGATGCTGCACGCCGTGACGTGACGGATCGTTAGAGGGACACATGGATGATTCAGGTGTTCTCATGTCCTCACTGGTAAAGTGACTCAGGGGCATTTTAACGTTATTTTAAATCAGGTGAAATAAGTGGATTTCTAATCTAAAACCTCAGATATCCAACTTCCAACTTCCAAATCACTATACAAATACTAAAACTGCCTTGATTCAATCACGTTGTTTTGTATTTTTGTACTTTGACTGCCTCAGACACTTGTCCTGTGCAGTGTTACTGTAATGTTAGAGCCACCGCTGTTTTACCTGGTGCAGAGCCAGCGAGTGTCCGTATCTGTGGAGAGGTCCGCTGCTCACAGGCACCGCGTCCCAGGTACTGCTCTCCAGGTTGTAGCTGCACGAAGAAAAGAAACAGAGCAAGACGTTTCAACACGGCTGATGAACAAGCTCAAATACACTTACAGTCGACTTTGCTGCCTGAAACCAAAAGTTAACAAAAGTCTAAGAGAAGTTTAGTCTCTATAAGATGAAGAACAGACGTTGTTCCACAGTAGCAACATGACAAAATGTTTTGATATCAGAAAAGTTTGTTGGTCATCGCAGAACAAGTTTATGTTATGTTTATGACCTTCAGTTTCACAGGTCCGACACTTACTTGAGAACCATGTGGTAGTTGGAGTAGTTGAAGGAGTAGCCTCCCACCACCCACATGAGCCCAGAGTGCAGCAGGGCCTGATGGGACGCTCGACCCGACGACTGCGCTGATGGTTTGACGCTGGGCAGCGTCCAGAAGGCCTCGGTGGACGGAACAGACAGAGAACAGTCTGGACCTGAGGAAGAGGAGTGAGGAAGCACAGAGACATCCGATTTATCTTTTAAAAGCCTCAAACATGCAAAACAAATACACAAAAATAAAGATGAGCTTGTCAAAGGAATGAGAAATATTCTGAGGTCAAGTTTTAATTTTGAGACTTTGGCGCCCCCTACTGGTTTAATGAAACAGCTCTGGGGCCTCCATGCATCAGGATCTGAGGTTATTGAGTTAATTTCAGGTTTAACTGAACAAAGCACAAACGTTAACTTCTCAATTTGTGCCTCATGTTCAGAGGATAAAAGAGGAAAATATTTTCCAGTAACTTCTGTCCGTAGTCCATAGTTCAGTGAAGTTAGTCAGTTTGAGGTTTGATACCAGGGACCATCAATAAATTACTGTTTGAATAAGAGATAACTGGATTATTTTTATATACGGATATTTTAAAGGATTAGACAGAGTTACACAACTCTGCACACACACACACACACACACACACACACACACACACACACACACACACACACACACACACACACAAAATAATACTGTCATTTTATTGGCCCGGTGCAGATCAATGCTTCGTATTCAGCAGGAAACAAACGAGAGCGATGTGCAAACATGAGTAGAAACAACCAGTGAAAGACACTGATTGTGAACTGTACATGTCTCTGTGGAGGGAAGGGCAGAGAGGGGAGGATGGGGGAGGTGGAGGGATGAGCAGAGAGGAGGGATGGAGGGGCAGAGGAGGACAAATGGCAGAACATCCTCCTTTCATTAACACAAAAACATATATTCTGCTGTGAGACGGCGGTTGCCGTGGCGACCAGCAGCTTTATTACCTGCACTGTCTCAGTCAGCTGCGTTCACCTGATTCATTATCACACACACACACACACACACGCACACTCATGTCCTCACCTGCAGATTTTATATTTTATCGTGGCTCATGGAGGAGAACATTTAGAAATGAAGAGTTAAAACCTGTCATTAGAGCAAAATCTTATTTATTCTTTAAAACAGGGTTTTGT